TCCAATCAGAGGTCAGCAAGGGCGCGGACTGGCCATTCCCGATCTGCCACCGCAACCCCTTCACCAGAAGCTGCCTACCAAACAAGATGCTCTGCCATCCCCACGAGGGTCTAGATCTAGGCAACGCCTCCAAAAAAGACCCATTCGGAAAATACTTCCCTTTATAAACTTGTGCCAAAAGGGAATGAGGCTCACTAAGGGGACGCCACCCAATTTTAGCAAGCAAGGCCTGATTGAATTGTTCAAACCGACGAAACCCCAAGCCTCCCTCATGTTTACTACGACACAAGTTCCGCCAAGACATCCAACGAATGCGAGCATGCTCCGCAGAATCACCCCACCAAAAACGAGCCACATGCCTGTCCAAAAGCCGACAGAGGGACAGAGGAAGTCTAAAACAAGACATCACATGGAGAGGTAATGCCAAAGCAACCGATTTAATCAACGTCTCCCTAGCAGCCCAAGATAAGGTCTTCCATTTCCACCCCTGAAGACGGTCCAACAGCTTCTCCTCCAAGTATATAAACGTAGCCATTTTCGAACGAGCGATAAGCGTAGGCAAACCCAGATACTTATCATGGACTCCAACCGCCCCAACACCTAGAATTGCAGCCAAAAACTCCTGGTCCTCCCGGACAACATTCTTACTAAAACACACGGCCGACTTATCCAGGTTCACCCGTTGCCCACTCAATTCCTCATATTCATTTAGGACCTCAATCAAGTTTTCACACTCCCGGAGAGTACCTCGTAAAAATAAATAAGAGTCATCCGCAAAGAATAAATGCGAGATGCGAGGCGCACGATGGGCCACTTTCACCCCCTCCAACTTCTTCTCCAATATAGCCTTGCGAAGAAGGGCCGCAAAACCCTCTGTACAGAGAACAAAAAGAAGCGGTGATAAAGGATCCCCTTGCCGAAGCCCCCTCGAAGGAGTGAAAAAACCCGAAGGAGTGCCATTCATAAGCACAGAGAAAGAGGAAGACCTGAGGCACTCTCGAATCCACCCCTGCCAGGTAGAATTAAAGCCCATCTTATCCAACACCGTGAGGAGAAAGGGCCATTCGACTCTATCATAGGCCTTTTCCATGTCAACCTTTAGAGCCATATACCCTTTCTTACCCCGAGTTTTGATCTTAAGATAATGCATCAATTCATGCCCCAGGAGAACATTCTCCACAATTTGGCGCTCCCTAATAAAAGCATTCTGACCCTCAGAAACAATTTCAGGCAACAGGCCGGCAAGACGCTCTGTCATGATTTTGTTAATAACCTTGTAAACAAACTGGCATAGACTTATAGGACGCAGCTGCCGCATAGTTTCCACATTATCTACCTTGGGAATCAACGTGAGCCACGTATGGTTGAAGTTGCGAAGCATCCGACTAGTAGAAAAAAAGGAGCACACTGCTAACGTCACTGACTCACCCACAATATCCCAAAACGCATTAAAAAACTTCCCCGTGAACCCATCAGAGCCCGGAGCCTGCTTAGAGCCCATGGCAAACACGGTTTTACGCACCTCGGCAGGGAGAACCTCAGTAGTGAGGCTAGCATTCATCTCCGGAGTAACACACTGGGCAATAGGCAAAGATGCCACCCGCTCAGCCATATTATCCACTAGGTTTTCTGAAGCAAACAGGTGCTGATAGAAAGAAGTAGTTATGTCAGCTTTTCCACTTTCGTCAGAAACCCACTCCCCATCATCATTGCGAAGGCCAGCCACAAAATTTCTCTTGCGCCGGGCTCTGGTCACAGTATGAAAGTAGGAAGTGTTTTTATCACCCTTCTTAAGCCAGTGGACCCTAGATTTCTGCTGCCAAAATAATTCTTCCGCGTCCCATTGCCGACTCAACTCCGCCTCCATTTCACGGACCGTGTCCCAGTCAATAGGAGTGATAGATTTGATCCTCTCAAGTGGTTTAGTCTGACTCCAATGCAGCCGACATTTAGGAGATTCTCGAAAAAAATTAGGATGATCACCAATTGTGGGGGACGAAATGGCGATGAGGCTGGCTAGCGGTTGTCCCCGCCACAAGCCCCTTTTTAATGTGGATGGTTTAGTTAGGGGTTTAATGTGTAATGGTTTAATGCGGATGATTATGGTTTTAATATGGATGGTTTAATGTGTAAATCCAAATTTTTTGCCACAAAAAATTTGGTATAATTTAAAAAAATTATATCAAAAATTTTTTATTTAAAAATGATGACGAACTATAGCAAAATGAAAATGAAAAAATTAAATTAAGATGATCGTAAGTATATTTTTTTAAGTAACGAAAAATTAGAAAAGAGGGCGGTCCCTAAATTTGGAGATAGGGCAATCCGCAATCACATGCCCTTTCTGTTTACAGTAGTTACACATGTTCTTATTTCGAGGACACTCCGCAATTAAGTGCCCCTCCTGCTTACAGTAGTTGCACACATTCGGCTTCTTACAGTGATACTGAATATGCCCAGTGCCGCAACCGCCCCTCGAAATCGGGGGACCTATCGCGAGATTGCTCGGAGTCACCATCGACCTTATTTGTGGTCGATCGAACACCTTTTTTGGCACGATCTCAACCTTAGTGTCAAAACTCGGGCCTGCTCTGCGAAATTTTAGATACTATAAATTCGGGAGTACGGTTACATGTGGGTAAGTGTATTCACACCCCACAACGCCCAAAATTGGTACTACTTAAATTGATAAGTTTTAAAGGGTTGGGTGTATTTTTATTTGGCTTTATTTACGTATTGAATTGTATTATCTTATTAATTAGATGTTTATTATTACAATTCTATCATACATCTATTGGCGTAAATCTTGAACGTAAAGAAAGAGCTTTTGGTTTGTTGGACTAGAACCTATTGGATGCCTACATATACCCGAGTAGTCGGGATCAAAGTCCACGTAGTTTGATTACATTTTGAAAATGTTTCGGTAAAAAAGAAAGCCTAACACATCCTATTAATCGTGTTTAGGGCTTGAGATTGAGTTTTTAGGCAATGTATATTGAGATTTAACTTTTATGATTTCAACCTTAAAAGCGACCACGATATATAGACCATGATTTCGTATAAGGAAAAGTATGTAAACGAGCAAAAATGACTTTTGAAAATCGATAATTCCACTGGGGGTTGAGCATGATAAGATTTTTCAAGAGAGAGGTACCTGATATTAACCTCAGATTGGAGGATCATATCACCTTCGACTCGATTTATGTATTAAATTTGTTTAAATTTAAAATATGAAGAGTTTGATCTTCAAGCAAATGGAAGGCAACAAACCTACTGGTTAGCTGTGTTGATGAATATTTAGACTTGGAAGACGCCAGTTCAAAACTCCAAGGGGTTACTTTTTTGGTCTCGTTTTTCAGTAGAAGGAAGGTGACATCAGGTAGTTTAGTCAAAAATAGAGGGGTAAATTGGTCATTTCAAGATGGCGAGTATAAAACTGAAAATTGGGGATAAGAGCAACCCTAGCCGCTCGGTCATTCCCTTTTCACTTGATTCTCCCTTCTCTCTGGAAAACAAAACGAACGAAAGAAAAAGCAAAGAACGATATCTTCTTCCTCATCTCTCTTTCCCATAAATGAATACCCAAAACACCTAACCAACTGTCACCTCTAGAGGGATCGGAAGTCTCGGCAATGGCGGAAAGAGAGATTTCAGAGAAGAACAGAGAGAGAAAAGGGAATCGAGAAGAGAGAGAGAGAAAGATAGAGAGGGAAAGTAAAGTTGTTATTAGCCAAAAAGTAGTTACAACGGCTCTTCGCGGCTTCCTATATACAACAATGGCAAATGTCTATTCTAGTCCTCCTACTTCTATTCTTGTCTTGATCAATCCGTTGGTTACAACTCCCCACTCCTTCAGCAAAAGCTTGTCCTCAAGCTTGGAAATCAGGGAAACGCTGCTGGAAATCGGCCAAATACTCCCACGTAGCATCCTCCTCCCCTTGATGAGACCACTGCACCAGTACCTGTGTGGCGGGCTTGTTATCTTTGGCCACCATTTTCCTAGCCAGAATGGCTACTGGAGCAAGTTTGAGTGCACCCTGATCATCAACAGTCGGTAAGAACGGCTGCACAGACACCTGTGTCGCAACCGTCCCTCCGGGGGTCCGATGTCGTCGCGTCGGCTGTTTTTGGGAGTCGCCATCGATCTTACTTGGAGTGGATCGAACACTCTTCGGTTGGCTCTAACCTTAGGTCAGAACCGAGATATGGTCTGCGATTAAGAGATATGGGTTCGGGAGTACGGTTACGTGTGGGGAAGTGAAATCACACCCCACAACGCCCTAAATCGGTACTACTTAAGTCGATAAGTTTTATATGTGTTGGGTGTGTTTTTAGTAATAATTTTGTAATTTTAGGTCCCACTGGACCATTTAATGATTTTATCGTATTAGTTGTAATTTAATTATATGCCCACTGACGTAAAAATTTAAAGATGGAATTAATTGGTTAGTTGGACTCGAACCTTATCGGTTGCCTACGTACCCGTATCACGGGATCAAAGTCCACGTAGTTCGTTTGAACTTTGATAGTTTAATTGTATGACTTTTACCACGTTCCACTGAACGTAATTTTTGTATTATAATTTTGTTAATAAAACTTCATTTAGATGATTATAAGATTATGACAACAAATGCAAGGATTCTAGTTATTAGGAAATATTTTTGACGTATTAGAAAAGAAACAAGAGGAACTTAATCCGCATTCAACATTTCGTATTAAGGGCATTAAACAAAGAAATTAAACGGGATGGTTAAATTAATGCATGATGGGCCAGCAGCCCAACTGGTGAACTCGCTGGACTTGATTTCGCACGAGAAGGTAGTGTGTTAGACGCCCACTCACTACCTCTTTTTTTCGTTTTTTTTTTTTTTTGCAGACTCGAGGAGGGCATTTTAGTCTTTAGGGAGTGCAGTATAAATTTCCTTCATAGAAACCCTAGACGACTCAAAACAGCCGCCTCTCACTCTCTCTCTCTCTCTCTCTCTCTCTCGATTCTTCCTCTCTGCTTCCCTTTCCTTTGCTTCTCCTCTCTTCTTACTGCCCAGAAAATGAACCCAATCGAAACCCTACTCCTCTCCTCTAGCCGCCGCCAGAAATCGAACAGAAGCACGAAGACAAACCCTCTTCCCTTTCGTCTCTCCGTTCGTTTTTACTGGGAACGACGGGGGAAACGGCCAGTTGCAGCGCCGGCGACGATGATGACATGCATCGTCGGCGACGATGAAAACGACGACAAAATTGGGGTTCTAAGGTTCGTTTCCCCTTTTATTATGCCATTTCTACTATTTTAGATCCGATTTTAGGGTTTATCGGAGTTTTAATCCCTATTTTCTTGTTTTATTTCCGGAAAACCGACCCTGAGCCAAAAGGAGCTCTCGATCTGCCTTTCTATTTGGAACGGCGGCGACGGTGAGACGATCCTACCCTCTGGTAAGCCTCTCTTTTCACATGCATGCTTATTTTAAGGTTTTCTAATTCGAAAACGGGATTATGATATATTGTTCTTTTGGGTTTCGTTTATGGGGGAGAAAAAAAAACGGCGACAAGGTCTTGTCGGAGACAAAGAGTCCGACGCCGTAGTGGGTTTTACCGGCAGGTAAAACCTTTTCTCTACCTAGGTGTGTTCTGTTGGTAAATCTCAGTTTTAGGGCGTGTAATGGCTTGTGTGTTCTTGATAATCTTAACGAACTATTAAGAAAAACTATGAGCCCTCATACGGCTCCCTGATTAAGGATGGTTTTAAAATCGGGTTTCTATTGGAAAAGTAGTCAGAATGGGTACTGATTTTTCATTAATCACGGCCACTGCTGGTGATTCTGTTCTAATCACCGCCACTGCTGGTGAACTTGCTAGGAGTTTTGATTTTTGAAAACTGGATTGGTTTACAAATAGGTATTGATTTTGCACTAATCACCGCCACTGCGGGTGATTTCAGATTCAAATACACTTTAGAAAAATAACTAAGAGGCTTTTGCCAAGCCTTGTCAATTAAAATGATCTTATAATAACCTAAAGTCACTCATGACTAAACCATATATTATAGCTCTTATTGGTTTGCTTAACAGTTTTCTTATGCTCTTGTGACTTATGGGTTGATTTTGAGGTTAAGCTCTTCTATTTATTAACTTGCTTTTGTGTGACTAGAAACACGAGAAAAAAAATGTTATTTTGTCTATTCTTCTACATGGATATCGGTTTAGTCCATGTAAACAGACTTAAATCACAAGATAGTGAAATATAAAAAGCAGTAACAACCACACAAACAAATATAGCCAAATGAACACAGATCTGATGTTTGTAAATGCTTTTGTGGATAGTATGTATGTTAGATTCGTTTCCTCGTGCTAGATCAGTTTCCTTGTATCAGATCTATTAGCAAAATTTGGATTAAATAACAACAGGAGTAGATTTCTAATACATATCGCTCCACCATACACATACAAATCTAACACGAAGCATATTCATCTCTACTTTTAGATATGCTTTTTATGTTGTGATGAATGACTGTTCTTGCAAAAAGACAATATGGATGTGTTTGGACTTGAGAAATACCAACTTGGACTATGAAGATATTCCTTTGTGATTGAATCTGTGTTGCTGCTTGCTGCCTCTTTTGCTGCTTGTCTGCTTTCTTTGAGCTTCTTCCCTATTCCTCTACTCTGTCTTTTCTCTTATTGGAACTAGAGTCCCAATCACTCTCTATTTCCGGCTCACCAATTAGGTCTCCCCCTTCAGAATTACCACTCTTCCCCGCTTTTTCTTCACTCTTGCTACTCTTTTTTTTTTGTAAGCGACCTCTTCCCCCTGTCCTTTTCTCTCCTTTGGTTGTAAGAGTCATTTTATACCAAGGTTTTTACTGTTCATATGTGTGTGTTGGCAAGTATTTGTTGGTAGTTTTGAGGGTGGTGGCGCCTGCAGCAGCCATTTTTGTGCCTGAATCTGGTTTTCCTTTAACTGCTTTCTTTTTGTTGCAGGTTGCTGTGTGGTGAGTTTTGAGTGGTGCTTTGAAGAGGTGGCCGCCCTCCTACTTCTCTAGGACGGTGGTAGTTTCTGCTGCTGCCCCTTCGGTTGGGATATAGGCAGTGGAAATCTGGTTGACTGTGTCAGTTGACATGGGCTTGATTGACTTGTGGACTGGGCCGAAAATTATGGGCCTGGATTGGGTTTATGGTTTGAGAATTGGGCTGCTGGTGTGGGTTTGTTTCTGATAGTTTTCTTTTTTTCAATGTATAATTACTAAGTGTATCTTAAAGTTTATAAATTGTAATTTGTAGTTACACATTTATTTATTTATTTATTTATGTTATTGCCTTCAGAAATAGATGATCATTGCATGTATTGCTCAAACATTCAATTGATTTCTTCCAGCCCAATTTGTTTGCTTCTCCAATTTTAAACCATATCCAAACTTCTAACCAACGTTTCCCATACCATGGATTACTACCATTCGTCCATTTGACCACCTTTAGACCAACTGTAGACCGAATACAATGATATTAGTATAGGTTGTGACAGCACACTATGTTATTCTAAATAAAACAAATTTTGTAGTCATTAGCTACTGCTAATCCTACCTAGTACAAATATTTGAACCAAATAAAACGGAATTAAAAATCGTTGGTACTTATTGATTCGCCACTACTAATCTCAACCAACCTCGTCCAAATTTTACTTGAGTTTTCTTTTTGAATTTTAAAAAGGATATTCTTCCGAGTTCTGAATAGGATGGTTGCTCCGGACAAAATGTGGTGTCTACAACCTGGGACTTCACTCAAGCCTTCTTCAGCATGGACACATGGAACACAGGATGTATCACCGAGTCAGCTGGCAATTGCAACCTGTAAGCCACAGCCCCTACCTTCTTGATAATGGGAAAAGGTCCAAAAAACCTAGGAGCAAGCTTCTGATTAGCTCTACTGGCAACTGAGTTCTGACGGTAAGGACGAAGCTTGAGGTAAACTAAGTCTCCTTCCTGCAAAATCCTTTCAGTTCTGTGAGCATCAGCCATCTGTTTTTGTTTGTTCTGTGCCTTGGCCAGGTTGCTGCGAAGGATATCAATCAACCTGTGTTGCTGCTGCAACCTCTCTGCAACTGCTGCAACTGGAGTAGAAAGAGGGTTCTGGATGGCAAACTGACCTGGAGAATAACCATAGAGGGCCTCAAATGGGGAAACCAACAAGCTACTATGAAAGTTGGTGTTATACCACCACTCTGCAAGGGTCAGCCAGGATGCCCACTGTAAAGGACACAAATGCACCATGCCTCTCAAATACTCCTCAAGACATCTGTTAAGTCTTTCAGTCTGACCATCAGTCTGTGGATGGTAGGCAGTAGAATAGTGTAGTTTAACTCCCTGTAGTTCAAATAGCTTGGTCCAAAAAGAGCTAGTGAAAATAGCATCGCTATCTGACACAATTGTATCAGGCATCCCATGTAACTTGAACACCCCATCAAAGAATGTTTGAGCTACAGTCACTGCTGAATAAGGTTTGGACAGCCCAAAGAAATGTCCATATTTTGAAAAACGATCCACCACTGCTAACACAGCTTCCTTCCCATGAGAACTAGGCAACCCCTCAACAAAATCCATAGAAATGTGCTTCCATGCCTGATCTGGAATGGGCAGTGGCTGTAACAAGCCAGGGTAAGGAATGTTCTCCACCTTGCATTTCTGGCATACATCACACAACATCACATAATTCTTCAAATCAGTTTTAAGACCAGGCCACCAGAAATACCTTTTAATCCTCTGATAACTAGCTTGCACTCCAGAATGACCACCCACTGGTGAGTCATGGAACAATCCCAGCAATTGTTGTCTCATATCACCTGTTGCTCCTACATAAATGGAAGACTTGTGATAGAGCAGCCCTTGGTGAATCCAGAAAAGCTTGGGACCCATGACTGGAATGACAGCCTCAGTCATGATTTGTTGAACTTCCTTATCTCCAGGATAGGTAGACTCCAACTCAGCAAGCCAAGAGGGAAGAACAGCAGAAATAGGACAACACTCTCCCAATTGTGTCATAGCAGAAGCAAAATCAGGGTGTCTGGACAAGGCATCAGCCACCTGATTAAACTTGCCTTGTCTATACTGGATTTCAAAATCCAACCCCAACAGTTTAACCAATCCTTTCTTCTGAATCTGAGTATGAATTTTCTGCCCCAGAAGATGCTTGAGACTTTCATGGTCTGTGACTATCTTAAATGGCCTGCCTTCCAAGTAATGTCTCCACTTAGTAACTGCTAGGATCACAGCTAAATATTCCTTCTCATAGGTAGATAACCCTTGTTTCCTTGGTCCTAATGCCTGGCTGTGATAGGCCAATGGTCTACCCCCTTGTGATAAAACAGCACCAATGCCACAGTCACTTGCATCTGTTTCCAGGACAAAAGGTTGGGAAAAATCTGGGAGGGCCAATACAGGAGCAGTCACCATTGCAGCTTTGAGAGAGTTGAAGGCTTCCTGAGCAGCCTCTGACCATTTGAAACAGTCTCTTTTCAACAAATCAGTAAGGGCTTTGCCAATGACCCCATAGTTCTTTATAAACTTCCTGTAGTAACCAGTCAAACCAAGGAACCCACGCAGTTCCTTCACAGATTTAGGAACAGGCCAATTCACCATAGCCTCAATTTTGGCAGGATCAGTTGTCACCCCCTCTTGGTTAATAATGTACCCCAGATAGTCAATCTGTGTTTGGCCAAAAGCACACTTAGATGGTTTGGCAAACAAGGAATTTGCCCTGAGAATAGACAAGGCAGCAGCTAGATGTTCCTTGTGACTGTTTTGGTCAGGACTATATATCAAAATGTCATCAAAGAATACCAGAATGAACTTCCTGAGATGAGGGCTGAAAATCTTATTCATGAGTGCTTGGAAGGTGGCAGGGGCATTTGTAAGTCCAAAAGGCATAACAGTAAACTCATACAACCCTTGGTGTGTCCTAAATGCAGTTTTATGTTGGTCAGCTGGATTCATTCTAATTTGGTGGTAACCAGACAACAAATCCAACTTAGTAAAATATTTGGAACCCCTCAATTCATCCAACAAATCATCAATCACAGGTATAGGGAACTTATCTTTGATGGTAAGATCATTGAGCTTCCTGTAATCCACACAAAAATGCCAGGTGCCATCTTTCTTGAGAACCAGCAACACAGGAGAAGCATAGGGACTCTTACTGTGTTGAATGTATTGAGACTCCAGCATCTCTTTAACCAACCTATCCATCTCATCTTTCTGTGGAATTGAATACCTGTAAGGCCTGAGGTTGACTGGCTATGAATTAGGCTGTAAAGGGATTGTATGATCACAGTCCCTTGCAGGTGGAAGGCCCTTAGGTTTCCCAAATACATCACTGAACTCCTTTAATACTGACTCCAGAAAGGCATGAGGTTGGTCCTTCCAAATGCTCATTTCATTCACACGAGCCCCCTGATCCTCAACCTGCAAACTGCAAAGCTGACCCATGAAAACAATCTCAGATCTATCCCACAGCTTCTGTAAACTCTTCCCTGATATCAACTTACACTGTGCCATATCCTGGATTCCAGATAACACCACTTCCTTGCCCTGCCAGTCAAAGAACAGTTATAGACCAATGAAATCAAACTTAACTGGGCTAACAGTCTTCAGCCAATCTAATCCCAGCATAGCATCATTCGATCCTAAATTCAAGATCCTCATGTCAAACTGGAACTTGTGCCCTTGCATCTCCCAACAGAACCCCTTACAAACCAAGTGGCTGAGTAGAACTGTTCCATCTGCTAACTTCACTCTCAATGGATTACTGGCTGGAACCAACTGACAATGTAATTCTCTTGCTTTCCTGTCACTCAAGAAAGTATGGGTACTCCCCGTGTCTACCAAGATGTAAATTTTGTCATTCTTTACCTTGCCTTGAACTATAAGTGAGCTAGCCATGCCTCCACTGTTCAAGGCCTGCATTGAAACCTCCTCCAACTTAGGTGTCTTAATCACCACAGTAGGATCAACCAACTCATCCTCCTCAGAATTGTGCCCTGACTCAGCACTGTCCTCCTCACACTCAGCTTGTAAACTGTTAAGCTGTTTCTTGGCATCACAAACATGACCAAAAAAATAACGATCCCCACACTTGTAGCACACACCCCTTGTTCCATTGTTCTTCGGGGTAAGCAGAGGAGTCTTTGATCCACCCACTTGTTTTGCAGGAGTAGCAGCATCCCAGCGGCGTGGTTGGGAAGAATTGGAACTAGTGGTAGCCCCCATTAGACGAGCAGACAGCCCTTGAGTACTACGCCACTTCTTCTGGCGAGCGAGGTTAGATGCTTCCTCCAGTTGTGCAAACTGAAATGCGTCAGCCAAGGTTTGGGGTTTCCACATATGAAGCACAGGACGCAATTCCTCCTCCAGGCCACTGATAAAACTACTGATAAAGTAAATCTCATCCAGAGCAGGGTTGAAACGCGCCATGAGAGAACGAAGCTCCTCGAATTTCTCCTGATACTCAGCTAATGAACCTCGCTGACGAAGTTTATTGAACTCCGCCACCACACCCCCATACGTTCTATTGCCAAATCTCTGGCACAGCGCCGCCACGAATTCTTCCCAAATCAGCTCCTGGCAGCCAATTTTCCAACCTTCAAACCACAGATCTGCTCGTCGTTGGAAATAGATCACTGCCAAATTGACCTTTTGATCGGAAGGAATGCCATAGATCTCGAACAACTTCTCACATTTCCGCGTCCATTCCCGGGGGTCGTCGCCATTAAAAGGAGGGAAATCAAGACGAGGAAGCTGATGAATCGGATTGTGATTACCTGGACCGTGAATCGGAATCTGATCTCGCTCTACCACTGGATTGACCTGAACTGGAATCCTGGGCGCCTGCACCAAGACCGGATCAGGACCTCTAAAACCTTGAGGAGGCAAAGGAAGAATGCCTCGAGCATTTTTGTCAATCGGCGGCGCTACCACCCCAGCCACGGCGTCCGCCGGCCAAGGAAGCATGACGTGTAACATATTTCGAATCTCCTGTGTGAACTGACCAAGACGATCCTCGATACGCGCATCCATCGCCGCGAAACGAGTCGCTGAACTCGCCTCCAACTCAGCGAAGCGCGTTGCGGAGTTCGCCTCCATTGAATCCAATCGCGTCGTCAACGTGACAAATTGCTGGGAATGACCTTCAGAACGTGTCCGGAGCTCCTGGAACTGAGTCGCCTGAGACGATACCAAGCTCTGAACATTGGTGAGACGGTCATCGAAATCCACCTGCGCTTGATTCGTCAACGCCAACAACGCAGTAAGTCGCTCGTCGATTGTACCTCTGGTGCTCGTCATTGTGAAGAAGAAGAAGAATAAG